ATTATTTTCCAGACATTTATTCTTATGTATTGAGCATTGATCTAAGTAATTTTTATTCCACTTGACCTTTATTTTTGGATTGAGTTGCAAAACCTGTGTCCATCCTGGGTCTAAATGAAACGATGATGAAAAATGCCACGCAAGCATCTTTTTACTCCACCCATTTTCCCTCTCGGGGTGACTACGTGTAAATGTGGTCTGGGACCGTCTCTGCTTCTCTTGGTTTGGGAGCTGTCCTCCCTGCAGGGGTAGCACAGGGTCTGTCTTTGATGTCGAGTTCCTCTCTCAGGCAGAACCTTGTTGCTCGGCTGGGCAGCCCTTTGTGCCCAGCCCAGCTCACAGACGCCCGTCTGGGAGAGCAGAGGTACGTCTTTGTGGTTAGGATGAAGGTTAAATCATTGGAGTGTTGGCTTTCCTCCAGCTTCTTTGCATAATTTGAACCCGTCTGTGTCCAGAAAGAAACATTCAAGTTATTTCAAGTGGCTGGGGTGGCAGACAGAGCTCCTGTAGCAGCCTGCAGACCGTGCAGCGCGTGGGCCGTGTCGCCTCCCCGGTCCCCGTGTCGCTCGCGAAGGCGCAGCTGGGACGTGGCCGGCGCCTGCCTTGGCCTTTCCTCCGTGGCCCTTCTCAGGGATCCTGCCTTTCCTTGGCTTTTGCTGTCAGGCCTGTGCACTTCTTAAATTCTTGAACGACTCTTTGGCTTGGCTTTTGCTCTCCCTTAACCTCACATTAGTTCGTTGTCAATTAGGCCTTTACAAATGTGCCAGAAATGCCACGTAGACACTTCAGTGTGTTTGTGGACCTGGCATGTTTGCATCAGCCTCCAGTAGAGAGTAATCTGAGTGACATGTCCCAGCTTGCCTAAACAATAGGGTGTTTTTTCTATCTTGGTTGTATGCGTTTTACACATTTGTAAGACTAATGTCATACCTCTGAAGCAAACCTGGGCAAGGTCTGCAAAACCTGTTCTAAAATCTGAACCTATTTAGACCCTTCCCTCCATGCACCTTCCTTACAACATGTCATATTTTGAAGAATGAGTGAATCAATATGACTGTTCCTAAATGATGGAAGTAAAAACCTAAGCACCATCAAAAGGCTGTTTGAAAGAAATACGGTATTTCCATGCCTGGTGCAAAAGTGGTGTATTTTAACGACTGGAAAAGACTTTAACTTCATCTTTTTGTTTGGAATTTGTTCCTGGATGTTGTTTAGACGTTCAAAGAAAACAGGTATTGGACTCTCATGTGAAAGAGCATCCAGGATTTGGAGGGAACTTTTTCTAGTTTCTCCATTAGGAAGGCCAAAATGCCATGCAGTGAGGAGCCAGAACACCCAACTGGCTTTTGAAGCTTGGTTTTCTTACGCAGTTCCTGGAGTCTCTGGTGAGGAATTGCTGTTCCCAAGGCTGCAGTGCAGTTTTACACCTTCCATGACAAAGGGTCTGCAAGGAGTAAAACCTACTTTTTTTCCAGTCTGGGGATTTGTGAAACTTTGACGTGCAGCCCAATTATAGTCATGTTGGTTTAGTTCCCAAAGTGGATGCTCTTTTATTCTAAGAGAGGCCCTCCTTTATGCAACCAGGAGTATTGAAGGCCCTGAAGTGTTAGCATTTGAATGGTTTTGGCTTAGCTTTAAAATAAATATCTACTGGATATGGAACTCTGGGGAGTGGACTAAAGCAAATGGAGTAGGTGAATTAACTGGAAGTTGTTCCGCAAGGCTGGGCTCACAGAGCCACAGCACAGCAACACAGCGGCAGATGGATGCAGAAGAAAGGGATCTTGAGAGCTTGCTTGTGTTTTGAGGCTGTTCTCAAGTGAAGTAGGTGCAATTCAGAGGCTGCTGTTCCTCTGCACAGAGTCCCCTGGTCACTGTTCCTGCTCTGCAGTGTCCATCCTTGTGTGGCCGGAGTGAGTGCCTGTGCTGTCTCCTCAAGGAAACTGCTTTCCTCAAGCTTTGGAAGGACTGCGATGTTTGTCTCCTGGTGCCTGATGGTTCTTTTCAGACCTGGGTGAAAATATCAACAGATGCCCTCCTTGCAGAGGGAGATTCATGATTTTTCCTGGCTGTGATGGAAATCTGGAAAGAGAAGCAAGTGCTCTTCTTCAGGGGTGTGTGTGCCACAGGGAAACCAAGCTAAACAAACTGACAAGCCCTCGTTCTTCTGCGGAGGGGAGGAGCACCACTCGTGGCTTTTGCCTGCCTTCTGGTAGGAATTCGGGTGCCTGTGAACCGAAAGTGGCACTGGGGCCACACGGTTTAGGGGGTGAAGAACCACTGTGCTGAGAGTGAAGGTGGTCTCTGCTGTCAGGGCTCCTAAAGGAGCCTTCTGGGAACCGAGATGGAGTTTGGCTCTCGTTACAGATACAAGTGACTGGGGGGGTTGGGGAAAGAGGGACACTCAGGGAGGCTTTGTGGGACTCGGGTGTCACCGTGAGAGGAGGCAGTGGCACAGGGCCAGGCATGTGGCAAAGTGTCCCTACCAGAGTAAGTTATTGCTTGTCAGCTGTTAATTGGTGCTGTTCCCTCTGCACACGCTTCGTGTTCCAAGTGTGAGCAAAGCAGAGGCCAGCAAGCCCTCGGTGAGGTTTGGGGTGGTTTGCTGGGCAGTCTGTGTCTGCAGTGGTACCCTGGCATCGGGGGAAGGTCCTTGCTGGCAAGTCAATAGAAATGTGATGGCAGAGGATTGCATGTTTGGCTCGGGATTGTCTCACCTGAGCAGTTCCCAGTGGCACGTGTGACGTCTCTCAGGGTGGGGACTGTGGTTTTTAGCAGCCTTCCCTTGGTGGGAGGTGTGAAGGCAGCGCTGCAGGGCACGGGGGCTGGAGACCTCGCCCTCCCTTCTTAGGCTGCACTGGCAGGGACCCTCTGCAGGGGGACTGCGGGGTCCCCCAGGGGAGGAGGGCTCAGGCAGCAGAAAGTGAGTGTGCATAGAAAAGGTTCTTTCTGGAACACTGTCCAGTGTGACCACGAAGGGAAATAAACCCAACCCAAAGCTGAAACAGCAGTGATGTGTAGGCTGTAAGTGAAGTCTCTGAGGGGTTGGTATGCAAGCAGTGGGAAAGGATACCAATGTGGGGGTTTTCCTCAAAGTTCTGAAATGTTCTTCCAAAAATCTTAAGGCTTTTTTTGACAGGATTGATCTTGTTTCAGTTCCACAGGTGTGTTGGGTTGTATGGGAATGAGGGATTCTTCTGAAATTGAGTTTATAATGGCATATTAATTAAAAAATTAATGTTGGACAAGCCAAAAATGTCTGATTTAACACTGGCATATCACAATTGTATGAAAGGTGTCTGTAAGTGTGTTAGCTGTCAGCATGGTGCAGCTTACAGGTTTTACCCAACTTGTTCTTAGGGTCACAGACCCTCTGCAGGCACCTGTGGTCCTAACAGCTGAAGGAAAAAGGTGCTTAATATGTTATCTTCTTTTTGGGTGATAATTATGGGTCAAGAGACCACAGTAGCTACTGTGTCAAGAAGCAAACCCAGGCCAAAGGAAATAGGCTTTTCTGGCCTGCTGTGAGTTACAGCTTAGCATGAAGGTGGGTTTGCTATGCAGTATGTGATCGGTTCCCCGAGGCACCAAGGGAATATTTGAGTATCTGATGATGTTTAAGGGAGATTCTGTTGATTCTCTGATCTTGAAAGGCCACTTCCTTACAAAGCAAGCAAACAAAAATACTCGCAGAAAAAGCTGTCTTTTAAAGTAATTTAAAATGCTTAAATAAAATAAATGAACATGGCAAATATTTTCTACGTGAAACGTGCAAAATAAAAAACTAGCCTTTGATTTTACTCTGAATTGAGTTAAAAATTAGCAAGCTAAAACTTGGGCCTCTGTGGAAGGATTTGAGGAAATAATGAGATTTGCAGGGCTGAGCCAGGCCGAGGTCCTGCAGAAATAGGCGGCACCTTTGCGGTTGTGCGTCTGGAGTATAAAAGTTAAAATTACCCTAAATGGCTGAACTGTTTTGGGTTTAATTTAATTTGTGTTTTTGTTTGCTTGTTATAAACCCCCCCAGTAAATGCTAAATAAAGTTTGTTAAAGGCTCGCCCCAGCTGCTTAATGAGAAGAGTTTAAAGGTGATGGAACACTCCCTCCTGGTCTGAGACACGGCAGAGATTTGTAAAGAGTGTTTCAGGTCTTCCTGAAACTTCAGGTGTGGGATGGTGGGGGCTGTTTACTGGGGCTCCTGAGAGCAGCAAAGCCTGACTCCACTTGATCCAAGAGCTGAGAAACAGGGTGGTCTTTTCTCCTCCCACCCAGGCTGCCCAGCCAAGCTCACCTGGCTGGCTTTGGCCAGGTCAGTTCAACAGCCACACGTCCTGTGTCCTTGGGCTTTACTGGCAGAAGGCTCTGATAATTTTTCTTCTGTAATTAGCACAATCAGGCCACTGTAGGCCTGTTTTCCAATTAAAAATAAACTCAGAAATATACTATTTGTAAAAGTAAATAATAATAATAATAAAATATTGCTTTTTGTAAAAAACTGGAAACCTGGGTTCCTGGGTGCTGGAGTAGAGGGACGGAGAAGGAAGTGGTCTTTAAAGCCTATATTAAGTTAGTCTTAATATGTTCATTTGTGTTGAACTGTAATTAAACCTTTCTTAAAAAAGAACAAAAAATAAGTACAAAATCATGCATGAAATGAGTTATTTAAATTGTACTCAACTTTCTAATTTAAATCACCTTGATCAGCTTGTGAGCATTTAAATACACAGCAAAACCTGAAATGAATATTCCACCCGTGGAGATGTAAAATGCTGTTTTGAAAATTTCAGAAAACTAGTTAAAATTCCAAATGTGTGGGTTGGGGGCTTTGTGGGGGGATTTTTTGGTTTGTTTGTTTTAAAACTTGAATTTTGCTTAGCTTGTCTCTGAATCATTATGCTCACACAATTACTCAGTAGGGTTTATTTTGCATTTCTGTAGCTATTTTTTTCCTGGTATTAGTCCAGTGAAACTTCCATCCCGAGTGCAGAGTTCCTGCTCAAGTGAAGCGACTGCAGCAAAAGGCAAGTGTGGTGTACCCGCTGCTGGGTGTTCATCCTGGGGATTTATCCAGCCTCAGCTGGGAAGGGTTGGGGCTGTGAAGTGCTTTGAAATTATGTCACTGTCATTTTGTGCCTTCCCAAGATTAAGGCTTTGGGTTTGAGGGAGGAGGCAGGAGAAACGGGGTGAAGATGGAGTGAAGGCTTAAAGCAGCATGGAAGGTCCAGAGAAACCTTTACCCTCACTAAGAAAACTTCTCTAATGGCAGCACAGCATCACACAGCCCCTGCAGCTGTGTGCAGGGAACTGGAGCCGTGTAGGAAGGATGAAGTACTCCATGTAGTGCTGAAATCATTTTGTGTGGCGTTCCTTGCCGGGAGCAGCTTGTGCAGCCTGGCTGGATTTTCGGGTGGCCAGGGATTGCTTTTTCCTGGGGAGCCGTGCAGACCTGCAGAGAGCCCTGGCTCATCCAGCCCTCCCCAGAGTTGCTAGTTTGGCAACTCTGCCCCTGGGAAGTTTGCCACAGAATTTTTTTGAAACTGTTTAATTTCTTTGCAGCCCTGCTTGTGGGAACTCGGTGCTTTTGGGTTTGTTCCGTGGCTTGCTTTGTCTGCCCTGAGCTGGTGCTGCTGGTGCCCGTGTCATGGTGCAGTGACAGCTCAGCCTTTTGCAGGGGTGACAACAGTGCTCAAACATCTCCTGCCCCCTCCTCCCCACCTGGTGGCAGGTGAGCAGAGCCTTCGTGTTACAGTCAAATACAGACCATGGAGCAGAGCCTTTGTTCAGAATTCATGTTCCCACCAGTTGCAGGCAAGACCTCTCTTATGCTTGAGGCTTGTGGTGCTGATAGGAGACTGTCCTGCCTCTGGTTGTATGGAGGTGAGACAGGGGCAGGACTCCAGGAGAACAGACTTCTGCGTGCAGAAGGGAGATGAAGGGTTTATTGCTGCTGGAGGAGAGCTGAGAGGTAATGTACAGCTGCAGGTCCAGAAATAGGTGTTCCTCTGAGCAGCTGCAGGCAGGAAGTCATCTCATCAGAGTTCTGAGCTAAAGGTCTGTCGCTGTAGTTGTTTCTTGCAGCAGTGTGTTTGTACCTGTGGGCCAGTGTTAACCAGTGTCCAGCAGCCCTTGTCTTCACCGAGCCCCAGACACCATGTTGTTGGATGTTCGGTGCCACTGCTGGAGATCACAGCTCACTGGCACCCTGGCTGTGCCCCTCAGAACCCAGCAGGAACAAGGGAACAAACAAACTGTTGACCCCAGATGGAATTTAGTTATAAAAGCTATTTTTTAAAAAATGACCAAAAAAAGAAAGGTGACAATTTTTGAAAATCATCTACTATGTAGTAGATGAGAAATTCTTCTAGTGCAGAAGACAGCTGGAGAGAAGGTGGCAGAAGGAGAGTGCCTGGACTGGAAGGTACATGTGAAGGTGAAGGAAAGGGGGGATTCCAGAGAATGGTATGAAAATAATTGCTTTGAGGGACTTGGAGCGAGTGGAAGGGAACATAAAAAGAGGAGGAATCAAAATACTTGGTTAAGTGGTTTGTGCCATGTAGGTAGCTACATTTCAGTTTCCTGCATGGTATTGAGGGAATGCTGCAGTGCTCTTTGAATTCAGGGAAATCCTAGGCATGGCAGATTTTGTTTGACTGCATAAATGGTTCTTCATGGGAAACAAACCTGACCAGCAACCAGGTTCACATGGTAGTGGTTCACTGGTTTAGTTTCAAACTCTGCTAGCCCAAGTCATGATTATCCTTGCTCTGGGAAACCGTGAGGAGTGTCCCAAAATGGCAAGCAGGACAAGCAGGAAGTCCACCCAGTGGGACAGCTCAGCCTGGAGCTCTGGTCCGAAGGAATGCAGTCTTGTCCATGTCTGCGGTGCCTGTTCCCAGGCACGGGGCAGTGACTGCTGCACACATCAGTAGGGGTGACTTTGGTTTTTACTGGCTCAAACTGTCAAGTGAGTTCATATTATTCAGTCAATTCTGGGAGTTTTGGAGATGATTTAGTAATTCCTGTTTTTTCAGCCAACTGACAGAAAAATGAAGTTTTAAAAGCATTGATAAAGGATTCATTTATTCAGCTCTGATCTGCTTGTTTGCTGGCAGTGCTCAGCTTCCTCTGGAGTGCCCGGCTGCTGAGGGGCAGGCTGGGGACCTGCAGGGACAGGGGCTGGGGGGACCCAGCCTCACTGCTGCTGTGAGTTAATCCTGCTTTTCAGAGAGGAAATGGCTAATTCGTGAGTAGATGCCTTGGGAACAGGCAACAGCTGGGTGCAAAGCAAAAATCTGCTAAAACATGAGTAATTTCTGAGTGGTGCGGAGAGGGTTTTTGTGTGTATTCAGCAGCAAATTAACATTTGAGCTTATGCTGCTGTTGCTTCCCTGGCGCTGGCATGCGCCGTGTGTTTGAACTGGTGGTCATTGCTATGAGACTGTCAAAGCACTGCTACAATGTGGGGGTTGGCTCTCTCTCCTTCCACTCCAACACGGGCCTGTTCCGTTCAACGAGAACTATTTTAATTGGGTTCCACTCTGTGTTATGGTAAAATCTGCTGCTAGATGCAGAAACCCGTGAGACATGTTTTGTTTGTTCCTGAAAACATACGCTTTATTCTGCTTTGGCCATTCAAATTGGTTTTACGTGATTGTCAGCTGAAAATAATACTGCGATTGGCAGCAGCCCGGCGGCTTCCTGCAGCCCGGGACTGGCACTGGGATAGCTCGTCCAGGGGGGCTGTGGGATGGAAATTCCTGCTCGGAGAGCAGTCATTGCTTAGCAGGCGGCAGCGTGTCCCTGGGGAAGGGCTGGCCCAGCACCCAGGCAGGCCTGGGCAGCTCCTGGGCTGTGGGTGCTCCGGGACAGCGGAGCTGGCCATGGCAGGGAACCTCTGGGCCACCATCACCCAGCTCCAGCTGTGCTCGGGGTGGGAGCTGTGCCGGGCTGCGGGCCAGCTGTGGGTGAGGCCGGGAGTGCCGGGCAGAGGCGGCACACGCGGGGGAGAGGAGGGAGAGCTTTGGTGGTGAGCCGGGAGTGCGTAACTGCAGTGGGATGGCTGGTTAGAAAATAACCAGTAGTCATGACTTCTGTTAATTAACTACTAAGAGTTAAATAAATGTTGTTGGAATAACTAGTCTGTGTTTATTTGGCACGTCTTTCTCCAGCCAAGGCTGGTGCTAGTTGGTACATGCTCCACTGCTGAGCCTGTCTGCAGCGTGGTTTTATGTTTTCCTTCTGTATTGATTTTCATGATTCATTGACCATGATCTAAGCAAAAAGCACACTTAAATGACACTGGAGACAGCTGTCTGTTAAAGTGGGACCTTTATGTAGCCTGAAATGGCGCCAGGATTTTTTCCATTAGTTTATCAAGTAACACACACCAGTAATATTCTTTGTTTAATTTCCTTTTCTAGGTCACTGATATGTCACCTCTCTTTTGTGTAAGAAGTGATGGTAAATTCTCACTTTCCTATCGGTTTTGCTTGTGTTATTTTTCTGATAATCCTTTTCGAGGTTATTTTGAAGTATATTTATAAGGAAGGGGCCTTACATTGTGTTTGGGAGTCTGTACGAAGGACTCGGTTTTTCTCCCAGTGGAGCTGTTTTGGAAGGCACATGTGGGAAGTTTGGATAAAAGCAGAAACATGTAAAGCTTGGGAAGCTGATGTGTAGCTTTTTCCAGTTTTAATCTGTCTCTCTTTGTATAGCAAGCTGAAGTTCCAGATGTTGTTTTGGCTTGGAGATAGTGAATGGGGGAAAAATAAGCATTCTTAATGTTGACAGAGTCAGCCTGTCTGGGTCTGCGCTGACAGGAAGAGGGAGAGATAAAACCTTCATTAATGGTGTAGTGCTGCTGCAGAGCCAATGGAGCAGGGCCATGTCCCTGGAGAAGCAGCTCTGGACTGGCAGTGCCTGGTGCCAGCTGTGGGAGTGACAGCTGGAGCCATGATGGGACACTGAGCACTGATGTCCTGTGGAGCCCTGGGGCTACTGGGCTGTGCAAAACCCCCAGGTTTTAGTTCAATGTTCATTCTCACCCCCTTTTCTCCTCCCCCCAACACACCTCTTGGAGTCCTGCTTGCCCTTGGTAGCTGACTTTGGGGGCTGCAGAGCTGTGGGGAAGGGCTGTTGGCCCAACATGCTTTTGGGGTCAGATGGCTCTGTGGCTCTAACCCACACTGGGGTTCTGTCCTGGAACACCAGTGGTGGGGTTCTGTCCTGGAGCACTGGTGGGGTTTTAGAAGCTCATCCCCCCGATGAGCTCTGTTTGTTGAGAGTTGCAGAGCAGTTTGGGCATGTTGTGTGCTGGATTTCTTCTGGAGGAGACTAAGCTGTGAGCTCTGTTCCTGGTGTGTCCCAAATGTGCTCCATCCTGAAACATGGGTGTTGAGTTCTCAGCCTCTTCTGAGCAGCTTGAAGCCATATGTGCTAGTACCTTCCACTGAAGGGACCAGGCTCAATCCCTTCTGAAGTAAGAGAGTTGAAACAATTGTTAGGATACAGTGGTGCTCAGGAATGGAATTTTCTGGGCTAGTCCATAGGTTGTATGTATAATAGTCTATCCATTTTCCATGTTATATTAAATACATAAATATACCATGGCCTGTGTCTCTTTCAGACCTGTTCCTCCTATCAGACTTATTTCTAAAATGTATAAGCAGTTTATTTTTAAATAATTGCTGCAGTTCTGCTGATTTCCTCCTTAATCTTTTCTTTTTCCCTTTCTCCATTGTTGGGTCTAGGCAGTAGCAGTTCCTGGTCAGTGGCCTGTCCCCACGCCTGTCCCTTCCCGTGTGGTGCAGTGTGCCTCAGGCTTTCTGGCCGTGCTGAGCGGTTCTGGTGAGAATGCTCAGTTCACTTGCCTTGATACTGGAAAGCTAAGAGTGAGTAGTGCTGACACTCCCTGATCTGAGGGACAGAGGAGCCGAGCTGCTGCAGCCCCTCTGGTATCTGAACCCTTGTCTGTTTGCTGGTTGGAGTTGCGATAAATGTCCCGTCAGTTTGTGCAGGTTTT